CCTTCGTCGAAGCTGTCTTCTGAAAAGAGGGAACTCGAATCGGACTGAGACAACCTTCGTTCACTTTTCTTCTGGAGAGTGTGTTTCAGCTCCTCTTGGGTATGCTCAGACAAGAATTTCGCCATAAGCGGGATTGCGTTGGCAAAGTCATCCTCATCAAAATCTTCGTTTGAAAGCAGCAGTAAGCGGATTAGCATCTCTTTCTTCTCGTTCATCTTTTCAACCTTGAACCAGTTTGCCCGGCGCTGCTCCTCCAGGCTCAAATTGTCGACGGCAAATACAATATTCTCGGCGCGGTCCTCTATGTCTGCAACTGCCCTTTCAAAGTCCGTCAGACTCGGTTTGTACAGCGGCTTGAACGGCGGGCTGACATAACTACCTATCTGTTCCTTGACGCAATACACAATGTAGTCAACAACCTCATGCTCGTTGGTCTGTTTGGCAACATCGCTGCCCACCTCAGCAAACGCGTCGTTCACAATGGACACGAATACGTTCACGAGGACGAGGAAAATGAAGACCATATAGGAGATGAAAAAGATAGGTCCCACGAGTCTGTTGGCGTCCTGCAGCCCTATGAAGTCAAACCCTCCTAGAGTCATTGAGAGCATGGTTTCTGCTGCCACGACAAAAGAAGAGTAATCCTCGTTAACTGGACCAAATATAAGGAACGCCGTCTGGGTATACGCCGTGAAGAACAGCAGAAACATAAAGAAAAACGAAAACAGTGGCCCGCTGCTGACTTTGACCGTCTGAACCAACATAGACATTCGCCGATTGAAGCGAAGAAGCTTGAGAAACTTGAGGAAGGCACAAAAAACGGCAAAGCCTAAAGTGCCCAGGTACGCCTCATCAAGAAATATTATGTAATCAAAGCTAATGAAGGCCTCGGGATTTGCTCGCATCCGTCTGATAGCAAGCCTGGTAAAGCCCAACTCCGCAAGGTACAAGAAAATGGCAGAGAAGGAAGAGCAAATGACAAGAATCTCGATGTAGTTCCAAGGGTCTGCGAAGTACTTCTTGCCCAAAACAAACAGCTGCTTTGCCTCGCTGTAAATGTACACGCAGAGGAAAGCGAAGAACACAAACTCGAATGCCATCACTACTAGTTGATCCGGTCCGGTGTAGCGGTATAACCGGATGGTATTTACCTTGGGATAGTGGTGGTATCCCCCAGTGGGGAGGATTTCTGTCAGCATACTCACCACACCAAAGAAATTGGTTTGCGCGTTGTAGACCGTGAACTCTGAAAAAATGGCGCGAGTGTGCCGGTCGATCCATCCGTAGATTTGCAGATCTTGTATTTTCTTCATTGAAGTTAACCGTTCGGAGTCAAGATTGTATACAAAACCTGCAAGTAAACAGCTGTTCTGTAACGCTTGGCTTTCAGTGATCAGCAGCTTATTTTCCTTAAAATATCAGCGAATTCAGACATGCAGATCATGCAGAAGTAACGGTTTTTTGAGGAAGGGAAGTTAAAAAGGACGTTTATCCATTTTCCATGTTGCACCGTGATGACGAAATGAAAAATTCTGACTCTGTCTTGAAGGATATCAATTAATCAATTAATCATTTTGTTAGTGTCAATTTGTTGGATGAGGTTGCCTTCCATATCCAAGGCAGAGGCTCATGTACAAAGCGCTTGACAATAAGTAAGAGCAAAATAACGCTACACTTAACACGTTACGGGTAACGTTTTCACCAAACCAGTTCATGATTTACTTTTTTTACTTTTTCTTGACTTTTTACAATTTCTCCCCTCCTAAATTCCCGTTTTCGCGCTTTCTGTATATTATTTCTCCTAGTCGCTGTGTCGACTCTTTGCAGGAGCGACTTGCTAAATGAATGATCGTCTTACATGCCATAAAAATCATTGAAAAGCTGCTGCAGGAGTTTACATCTGCTTTGTACACGTACGGAAGATTGTTTGTTTTAAGCATGTCCATCAAATACGTTGACCAGCGTCGCGATATCCCGCTAGGATCGCACTTTTAACATCTACTAGTTAGTCCTCTTAAGTTCAATTACTTACCCCCTCCCCAATAAGAAGCGAATTTTCCCCAGAAAGGCGTTCCATTTAATCTCAATGCGCTTTGCCAAATCCAAGGGTTATCCGGGAGTTTTTCAGCGTCACTGACCTCCATTGGAGCCCAGCCAGGGCGAAAAGCGCCTTCTTCCTCGTCTTCCCACGAGTAATAGGTGGTGCATGTTGGCATCAGGTCAACCAGATATCTAGGAACTGTACAGGATCCTACAAAATGGCGGCCAGAACAGGAGGCAAATTTTTAATTAGTTCAGCCTTAGCTACGTGATATAACGAAAGGTTTGGTTTAAAGTGGTCAGTGTGATTGCTTTCGATCCTTCTTGATGGTCTGACACAGTTTGCATGTAAATCTTCCGAGTGATCAGAAATGTACATCACAAAAGAAACATAATGACACCCGTCGTCCCGTTGCCATGACAACAGTTATGCCGCTGGTTCTATTTTAATTAAGACTAAAATTCCCAGATTTTATCTTAAACAAGGATCATCCACTCCCACCAATCTTATGGGGAGAGTTAAGACAATATGGGAACCATGTGTGTTCCGAGCAAGACCCTCTGTCCCACTTTAAAAGGTTGCAAATGGAGATATTTGGTTTTTCACAGAAAGAAACTGGAGCCAAGAGTGTTGCCATGGCAACAACATGGTATGTGTCATTCTGTTTCTTTTGTGATGTACATTGTTGGTGCCAAGTTTGAAGAACACTGCTTTAATATTTCTAGAATTAGTCTCGATTGAGTGTTGTGCTGTTTTAGTGGCACCAACTATGACGTCATCGCTTTCCTGATTTGCATAATACAAAAACGTAAAGGAAAACGCCATTCTTCTTGACTTTGAAAAGCCTTTCAAATAAGCAGCAATTATTTTTTACTTCATAGGCACTTTAAGCTCTCTATTACCAGTCTCACTGATCACGCCTTGCTTTTGTAAGGAGAATTTAGACTTGATCAATCTTGATATCAAGGGCTATTTATTATTTCGAAAAATTACCTTTTTTCATTCTCAACTGACGTAACCGAGCCAAACCGACGACATAAAACATTCCTCGGTCCGCGATGAAACCCTCGGGGAAACGCTCCAGTGAGTCAAAGGACACAACAACATCATTTAAGTACGAGCCACCACCTTTCTTTTTAGCTTTTAATTTACGTCCCCCTCCAGATTGACTTTTCTTTTGTACCATGTACTCTGACCACAAATCTTCCTCATGCGAGTCAATGAACGGGCCATACCAGTATTGGGGCTGTAGGGTGGGGACAAATGAATCCTCAATCCAGTGCCAGAACTTTGATGCTTCTCTACTCTGGAAAGTTAAGAGTAAAAAGAAACCAGATAATACATATGACTGGTCAAAGAGATTTTAGGAAGTTTGTATGTTGCGCATAAAGTTCTTCACGAATTGAATTAATTCATTCAATAATACATCAGTTGCAGGTTAGCGAAGTGGTGAGATTTCAGATGGGGTTATCTGAAGGTCGCGGGATAGAATCCTGTTGAGGAACTTTTTTTTTTTTTTTCTTTTTTATGGTTCAGCGATACAAGTAATGTTATTACAAAAGAAAATCAGACAGTAAAAATGAAAAAAAGGAGTAGAAAAGAAATGAAAAAAAAAAAGAAAGGAAAAGAGCTTTGATATAGTTTTCTCTGGAAATTCAAAAAATACTGAACAATAACAGAAAGGAAAAAAGTGCAGGAAAACCTTAGTGGATGCAGCCTGGCCGAGTGATTTAGGGCGCTGGTGTTGTAATCCGGAGGTCCCGGGTTCAAGGCCTCCACTGCCACTAGCGAGATTTGTTTCTCGGTAGTCCCGAGTTCAAATCCTCGGTCACGCTTTGCAAATAGCTAACTGGTCTGCCTTCTGCCAATTTGGTGTTTTAACTATGTTATGTTTATTTGAAATATTTGTTTCCTTTGTTTCAGTGGCATGCCTGTAAACTAGCTAAGCTTAGTGCTTGTATAGCTAAGTGCATGACCACTATAAATAATATATACATTTACATTTTACAACAGAAACATAATTGACCTTTCTCGAGTTACCTTTTACATCAGTTTGGAAAAAACCAAGGTGCAAAATGTTTAAATGGTAATAAGTAAAGTATACTTTGAAAAAAAATAAACGTGCAAGTAACCAGTACTTTCTTGTGAAATGTTTTGCACCTGACCAGTATTTTCCAAACAGATAAAAAAGGCTTCACCTCGAAGCTGAACACTTGCTGTAATTACCGTGTCAAAGGGAAGCAGTGAAGTGTACTTGCTTTCGCTAAAGAGATCCTTGAGTGTTTTGGTAACAGCGTAAGCTTGGTTATCTCGACTTCCGTACGCCACAACACACATAACAACAATAAATGCAAGATATAGGAACATCTCTTTGAGTATGGCCTTCATCTGCTTCTGCTTCTGGCGTCGTTGCCTGGCGAGATGCAGCTGCTCTTCGCCTGGAGGTCTGGGAATCTCGCCAGATGTTTTAAAATCGAAACCATCCCGATGGTCGCCGTAAGGATCGTGAATCCATTCCTCGTCCTTTCTGAGCTCTGTGGTTTGTTTTCCGTCGTCTTCGAGGACCTTGTCCGGGTCTTTGACGATGAGGGCAAAGAGTACGGCAAAGATCATGACCTTGAGTGGCTGAGATATAATGACGTCTTGCCAGAAGGAGATCATCATACTTGACACCCATCTCTGTGACTTCGCTTCACCGAATGTCAGTGAGTAGAAGATCGTAAATGCTGCAGAAGTTGTGGATGCCAGGAAAATCAGTACATAAGCAATGTAGATTGTAAACTGAGGAAGAGTGAATGCTTTCCTTTCGTCTTTCCCGTTCTTGTTCTTCTGTTCATCTGTCTTCTCTCCCTCTTTTTCTTCATCGTCATCTTTATCACTGTCGTCGTCATACTCGTAGTAATTATAGGCTTTCTGTCGTCCCTCACTCGGGGACATTTCTGACCCAGGCACATCTTTATCACGGGCTTTCCGGAAGATGTTTATAATGAGCAAGTTGACAGGGAGGACCACCAGGCTTGACATGATCCCAATCCCGATCTGCTTTGTGGAGAGTCTGATAGGTCCAATCTTGACTTCAACTCCGGAATCAGATTCACCATCTCCTCCGTCCTTATAGAACATGGCGTTCGCCAGCATGCTGCACATGAGTATCGACAAACAGCAGGACAGACGTTGAACGCGTGTAAACGAGCTTCTTAGAGGGCAATGCAGCACAGAATACCACAAGTGTCCATCACTGAGATTCTTGCGCACCTCAGTGCTGAAGAGGAAGTTGAACTTGGACAATTCCTTTTTGGAAGAGGGGTAAAGCGTTCGATCGATCTGCCCATCATCTTCCTCCACGGCAAGCCACCGATCACAGACAAACCACACCGTCTTGTCTTTTTGTAGATCACGAACGAGCACGCGTGCAAGAAACCACGACGGGTTGGAACCGGCGTTGTTATGCCAGATTCTTACGCTCTGAATTGTTCCAAGTGGGCGCGGAACGGTTAAAAGAAAGTAATCTATGTTTCCTGTTTGGAATTTTCTACGCGTTGTCTCAACGTCCCGCAGATGACGTGACTGCGTTTGTTCAAGTCTGCCCGTCAACACGATGGAGACATCGGCTGTCGTTCCCGCATGACTGTCAAAGCCTGTAAAAACCGTGATCTCGTAACCAAACAGGTCTCTTGGATCATTGGACGGCAGAGGAGTAACTCCCGCCTGTTGAAAAGAGTATAACACAAACCTCAGTTATGAGGTGATTTCTATTGATGCCTGAAATTTTTTTCTAACCATTACAATATCTTACTAGCTTAATGACTAAAATAAGTACTTGAATATGTTAGTATGAAATAAACCAGATTATGCGTGATATGGTCGGTTGGGAGCCAATGATCATATTGTGATTACTTTATGCGCGGAAACAAATTTGTTTCAGGAGTTTGATTCATCAATTACATAAAAAACATTTTTTTTCTATTTTCTAAAGAAACCACTTGCAGAAGTTTGAAAGAACTCGAAACTGCTTACGGATCATGCAATCTTGTCAGTTACGGTAACCCGTCTATGGAAACACAGGGAAAGTTTGTATATCTTCCCTTCAAGAAGCAACCAGTGAGATAATGTCAGATAGTGCAGAGTGCAATGTACAGTTCTGACACAGTAATCATACAAGTTACCGCCCCTGCTCACTCCCAAATCACTGTCAAATACCTCGGATAAACAAATAATGAAAACAAAATCAAACAACTCGCACCAACTGAAAATCTCTCTTGTCTGTACGTCGGGCCCATACCAGCAGTAGAAAATACAGGAGAAAGATAGCGCAGACGATGATGGTGACAGTAGGATTGTTAAACAGTTCTGTCGGATTCACTTTACTAAAGTCAATCGTGTTTGGAGGAGTAAAGAAGCTGCTCGCGAATGACGACATATGAGTACACAGGCATTGAGTGTGCGTTGAGTTGGACAGCGGTCCCACCTGGAAACATGAACGAACTGTTGATTGATCATGGTATCGGGTTATAACAAAGAGTTATTGAAACCAAAGGGATCTATGTACAATAGTTACAAAGGCTTCTTGAACTGATTGCCTGCTATGGCAGCTTGTCCTTGCCTCTCTCATCGCTTTTCACCGAAAGGCACACTTTGTTTAAATCCGCTTTTCTAGTCGTAGAAAGATCCACAATTTGCATGATGGCGTCATTTGACTACAACTACAAGAATCCTTCACTCTTTCTGTTTGTTATGCTAATTAGAACAGTTGTTATTACCCCACTGAGACTTTAAAATTTAAACAATAGAGAAAAGATGAGAGGAATTCTGGGAGTTGTAGTCAAATGACGGCAACGTGCAAATCTGCTACTGTAGAATCAAACGATAATGGCCAAGGTTACTTTGATTTAGTATTTTGCTTATAAAAATGACACGTGCATCGATGTTAAGTGATACGTCAAAAACCGACGAAACAGTTTAAAATACAGCACGAGGTACGTAGCCTGCGAATACAGCCGCCTTTTTTACTCGCGGGCTAGACGCGCCGGCGTATTTTTGGCGAACTCCGAGGTGAGTTTAAAAAATGTTATGAAGCACAACCTTGAGTGTCTGAGATATCCTCTCAAATACAATCTATATCTAAGGAGAAAAGGGAAAACACGTCTTAAACGGCATCACATTTTTGATTTATTTTGTCACAACTATTCAAATAATTAAATGAGTTAGAGAAGGTATCTTACCACACAACCATCTTCAACCCATGCCTCACTCTGCTCGTTCCAGTATAAACACTCAGAGGTGTATACAGAGAGCAAGTACTCCACAGTCGTGCTTTCTTTGTGGACTTCAGCACCGCTAACTGTTCCATTGTACTCTATGGTAACAAAATATTTCCCAGCGGCGGTCCCGTTGAACTCCTTGTTGCTAAAGAACAACACCATGGGATTTGTAAAATGTTCATCCGTGGTATTGGTGCTAGAGTTCTGCCCGCTGCTCTCATTGTTTCTATGAAGCAGCGGTGGAATAACACGTACTTTTTGCCTGTCGTCGCCGTCCATGGTGGGTTCTTCTTTCCTTAAATACACAACAAGTAATGGGTGTTCTGTGATCACTCCCAACACATCTATCTCGATGTTAATAGAGCTTCGGTTGTCCTTCACTTCAAAGATGTGTTCGAGAGTTTTCGTGTATTGTACTTCTCCTTTCGTCCGTTTTAGGGTGTCACTGCCTTTCCTTATCCACAAGGCCAATGGTTTGGTGAGGTTTGCAATTTCCAACTCCTCCTGAGTGGAAGCGTTCCGTATTTCTACTGAAAGCAAGTAACTATTGACTCGACTGGCACTTTGGCTCCACACGAATGGCACGAAAGGTGTTGATGCGACCTATAAAAGAAAATAGCAGCAAATAAAGTCACCTTGTAGATTAGTTCATAATTCTTCCTAAAACCTCTAACAAGACCGGCGTTTCGCTCTCAGATTCTGTCAGTCAAATAAATACCAGTTTAGTTTGTTTAGAAAATAACACGCGCCGATGATGCGCGCAATGAAGTAAAATGCCTGGCCTTGTAATGTTATTATCTGTCAAACCATCGAATTAGGGATTTATCATTCGACTGCTTTATTTTCCGAGTATTGCAAGATGTTTTTGTCGATTGGCCTTCCCCATCCGGTGTGACTCTCACACGCACTTTCGAAACGGGTCTAAGCGTGATACTACGGTTTATTACACGGCTAGCTCCATGAGCGGCAAGATAAACCGAATCCTGCGTTGTGATTGGCCACCCGAGCGTGTTATTGACCAAGCGTGAGGTCAAGATGGCTGGATGCCCAAGTTCTTTCTTTTCTTCGTGTTTATAGAACTCAACTTCGTTTCGGTCCATAAAGACTCAAAAAAGAACCAGCCCTCTTGACCTCACGTTTAGTCAATAACCCATATGTATTGCACGGAGAAGTGTAGCCTCGTTCGAAAGCCGATGAACCATCCTGGGAACTAGATTGTATTCCCTATTAGCTTGTCGAGCTATAACTATTTCACCTTTAGAACCTTTATTCGAAAGAGAAAACAGAGTCATTTCGGTGGTCTAAAAAGGAGCGACTAGTCGTTTTCAAATCATTTAATTTTTATACTTTACCAAAGCATCAAGCACGATCAAAGCGGTCTTATTCCCTTGTTTCAGCATATGTAGGTCCCCCAAGTTGTCAGGTAAACGAACACCTCCATCACCACAATGCAGGTTACGTCTCGCCAGACCCGCGGGATAGTCCTTGCTCAGCGTGAAGTAGAGTGACAGGGAACGCACTTGAATGGGTTCTTCTTTTGGAAGGGTGTGATACAAGAACGCGTCTGACAGCTTTTTGACATATTCATTGATGTTTTCAATCAAAACTTTACCCTTAGAATAGACAAAAATACTTAACGTTAAAAAAGTCGTTTGAGAGGGTTACCACAAATAACTCAAGTTAATCTGCAATATGAAGATAATACATCTTGTGATTATTTCGCTCTGAGCGATCTTTTCACGTTTGGGTTAAACGTCTTCAGCATTAAATTCAAACTATTTGCTAGATTTAGAGATGTCCGTTGAGACGCAAAGAAAGTTTTGTTTCTGCTAGCTTCGTCCAATAGCGAGGCACTTCGTGGAAATTTCGTTCTGACCGACCCGATGATTGCAGTTAGCATCGTACTAAACGTAAAATCTTTTCCCATTTGCCAGCTTGCGCTCTAGCAAACTAAAATGTTCCTCCCCTCCCCGTCTCGCGCTGCCCTCGCTCTCATCTCCAGCTCGCGCTCAACTCCGAGCGGAGCCTGGCTTCAAAGCCACCTACTCACCCGCGCAGTGTAATTATCAGTTGTCATTGAACTGTTAGTGACGTTTCCAAGGTTTTCGTCGCCGACCAAATGAGTCACGACTCTTAGCGTTGAACCCATTGCTTCAGATACAGTGTTCAGTGTCTCCCAGAGGCCCGTGGAGTCAGAGATGTTAGACAGTTCTTCGATTAAGGTCACCATATTGCCCAATGTCTTGTTGAGCTGCAACTGTTGGAAAAAAGTAATAACGATATCTTATGAGATACGTAGTTCCATGTTGCAAGAGCTAAGCCATTCATCTCATGAGCGAATGCACTGGGGAATTAGTTTATAGAGAAATAATTTATTCTTCGGCATTTTTCCCTATTTCTTAAATTTAAATCTTATAGATGCTTTTCAGCAATCTGATTGACTAACAACTCGCGCGCTCGTCTTCCACACAAATGTTTACATTTTATAACTGTTTAAAATCACCGCTGGCATCAGTCTGCTAAAATCACTCTAATGCTTAGAACCCACAAACGAGGTTTACGGTCCTAGTTTTTATTGACCAATTGTGATCAGTAAGATAAACGTTTTGCAAAGTTTTACTGAAAAATTCTACGGAAGAGGTCCAGAGTATCTATCAAAGGATCATTGCTGGCAAAGCCAGCCTCCTGAGCTAACCTGAACTTCCACCGTACACTCGTCAGGAATAGCAGCCAGCTTGGCAACAGAATTAGCAGTCTCTCTTACGGTCTTCACATCATCCATTGTCATATTCGCCAATGTATCGCTCATCCTTGTGCGGATCTGAACACGAAACAAAAAATAAAACAAAAAAAAAGAGCATTTGAACAAACAGGATGTGAAAACTCAATACCGTACTGGGGAATACTGGCCTAAGGTCGAGACAGTACAGACCGAGCGCAGCGAGGTCTGTACAAAAACGACCGAGGGCCAATAATCACCATAACGGCTCCAGCAAGCTAGGCCGGTTAGTTAGTTTATTATATGGCACTCAGGCTATGCTTGTTTATTGAATTTGCCAGCATTCGAAACAAAAATAAATAAAATACCCGGCTTTCGTACTGTTCCAACTCACCGTTTTGGACGCATCTTTAAATCCTGTTATGTTGGCCGCACGTTTAGACATGGCATTTAACAGCAACGACACGGATAGTATGTACTGGTTGGTAAATTGTGAATAACTTTCCATCTCCAGGGTTCGCAACGTGCCATTAATGGACAATTCCTCCAACAGTTGTGCTATAATAGTAGAGTCGTTTTGGTGACTTGGTAAGCTCTACAGGGAGGAACAATGCCGTAGTTTAGATTTTTCGATTCATCACCTATTGTTCTTTTCGGTGATGTTATTTCAAACGACATTCAACGAAAAGTTTTAACTGAACGAAGGCCGCATGAAACAACTTTTAATGTAATATTGTTGCGGCATAAGTAAATTGCACGGAACGAAGGATAGGGAACTCAAGTTACTCCAACAAAATCAGCGCGATAATCTTACTTGTAAGTTTTTGAAACTGATCAAAGGTTTGTACAATTATTCCCCCAACAAGGCAAATTGACCGCAGTCTCTTTAGAAACTACGCGCTTCGTAATATTCTCAAATCTTATTATATTACCTGTTAAAACAAACAAGAATGCTGCTGTTACTTTCTCTTACAATCTAAGATGCTGGCTAAACGTCATCGGCACACTTGACGAAGCAATTTTCCAATTCACCAAACTATTATTGATTTCATCCTACACTCTATAACCACATTTTTAGGGAGTTAGGTCACCTGTTCACTCTCCTTCCCTTCGCCTAAGCATGTTGAAAACTGTGGGGATGATTAGGGTGTCTGGTTCTATTCTGCTTATATCCATACAAGGAGTATCTATAATCAGTTCAGTACAACCAATTCTTCATTACTTCTATTTCACCCATTTGCAATACCGTTAAGTCGTACCTGATGCTCAAACGTGACTTCTGATCTACTCCCCATCTTGTCCGAGATCACTGCCTTCATGTAAAGCGTGTAATTATATTCCTCCAGGCCAGGCGGCAACCGAATGTTGTCGACCCTAGCGTGTCTGGTGGTCTGAATCAGGTATTCAGTGCCATTGGGCGCAGTTTTGTAGAAGTAGTCGTACATTAAAGCTGTTGAGCCTGAGCTGCTTGTCCAGCCGTTACACACCAAGGTATTCTGTGCTTCATGACCGCTGCCAGCTCCTTTAATTACACGACACTCTGGACCCGTGGGGGGGAGGGATGTGTTGAAGATATACTCAGCAGAACCAAACGTTCCATTACCAAATCGTCCTGGGGCAATCAAATCAAAGGTAACTAAATTTAGGTATGCATCGAGCAGACTTGTACCATCCGGTATTTTTTTTCTACGCACCTAGAACGGACCTTTCAGACCTCAAGACAGACGCAAACACTTTTGAAATCTGAAATTCCTTCCGATAATAAGCCCAAACCCCCAAAAATAAGCCAATCAAATAAGAAGTTTACACGCATTTTTCGGAGCTCCATTTTCAACTCAAGCATTGTAGTTTAAAAGATTAGTAAGAACCATCCCTTCAATACTAACCCTCTACTTTGACGGCATATGCAGTTCCATTTTTGAGGCTGTTCGCTCTCAGTATGAGAAACTCAGAGTTGATGCCTGCCCGCGTCATAGATCGGAAATCTGGTTCTGGAATCCAGTGTGAGTCATCGTAGGTCTCGTTTTTCACTACATTTTGCGGACTTTTATTTGTGACTCCGCCAACTACTTCCCTCAAACTCCAGGAGATTGTCATGGTATTGATCATCTCCAAAGTGCAGTTCCTGCATTGGGCTTCTAGCGATAACTTAGCAAACGGGTTCTCCGCTCCTGGGAGTTGTACGTACGGTCGCCTACAGCGGAAAGTAAGTAAGTTAAGTCCTATCGTATAACATCATCATCTGGCACATATAACTACGGTTTCTACAAAATAGAGCGACTTAGAAAACTCCCCCAGAATTTTTGAGAGGTTTGCAAAAGCGTTCGGTATAATCCATTTATATTTCTTGCTGGCGAGAGACACTGTAATTGTTTAGTCTTGCACAAGAACACAACCCGATGTCCCGGAAAGAACTCGAACCCGACCGCTTGATTCGGAGTCACGGGTAATTTTTCTACCAATACGTCAACACGCACCTGCATTGGTCAGGATTAAAGACAAAGGTAGTCCATAAATGCCGGTGAAATCAGCTATCAATCAAATCCCACGTGTATTCTCGCGCGCACGTAGCATGCAGTAATTGATCTACTTACTTTATAACCATGGTAGGTACATCATCAAATGTCAGGTCGACGCGAACAGGAAGAGCCACGGGTTCTCTTGAATCCTTGGTGATGAATAATTTAAATATGTAACTAGTGCTTGCCCACAAAAAGTTTGGTTCTATTTCGAGCACCTCCGTATTAACCATCAAGCGTCTGGTTCCATTTCTCAGGCAACCAGCACCTCCAAAAGCCTTGGTCCTATCTGGATATTCATCCGGGACAGAGGGAAATTCATAGTCCGATTCATTTGCTGTTTTGCAGTACCAAATGTACTTAAGACCCTGTTTGTCTTCTATTCCGTAATCAGGATCGTGAGAAGGGGACGCATCGATTATTACTTTGTCATACACTGACTGAATCCACCTGTTACCCCCGATGATCGCCGCAACTAGAGGTGACTGCATGATTTCCAGGTAAGAGTCAAAAATAGTGTGAACAAGAGGCAGTCCAACCATACTCACATTGAGAATAACCTTGAACGTTCCGTACGGCAACGTTTGCCGTGGGATAATCAACACTGACAGAGTCTTATCAAAACCACCAGTTTCGAGGATGGTGCCATTGTCATCTCCAGAAGAGATCTTGATGAGATTCCACTGAAATGTTGTCTCTCTCGACGCCAGACAGTCAATGGTACATCGCGATTTGATCGATATGTACTCGGCTCGGAAGTATTTCGTGCGAGTTTCCAGCGTACGTCCAGCATCGGGTATTCGTACAACTGGGAATTTGCAAGGAAGGGGAAGGATAATCACCCAGCGACGAATAGTGACGTTGGACACGGAATTCATAGCTGTAAGATTGACAGCATATCTCGTTTTCTTCCAGTACTGAAACAGGATGGTGAAGTTAAGCGTAGGTAAAACTTTGGTATCGTTTGCTATCTCGAGCTCGTTATCACAACTCACATTATCGAATCCTTTGTACAGAGTCCTTGTGTTATTTCCCAAGTCAACAAGGAAACAAGAGTCAGTGCCTCGCTGGCCGATTATAATGGTAAATGTAGTGTTGTCCTCAAACACTGTTGGACTGTCGTTTTCAAACGAGACGTTCAATATACTCTGCATCATCCTCACCACACCACTCACTTTCATCCTACTGATGGAATTACTCGCCCCTAGAGTGATGTTGAAAATGTGTGTGTGGGAAAAACGATGTAAAGCACTGGTGGACTTCGTTTCAATGGGCGGCGTTTTATCTCCAAAATCCCACGTATAACTGACGGCTGTGCCACTGGAAGTGCCAGCCACAAACAAAACTTCGTATTCCACGGGAAACTCTGTTTTGTTTGGTCCCCTCCCCGGGGCGCCGTATCCAGCAGCTCCACCCGTATGTTTACTTATAATGTGCAGGTCTTTTATTCTTTGTTGAACGTCTACCCAGTCTGCAAGATTTACCGAACTGATGTCATTCTTCATTGTCATGTTGACTTTGAAAATCCCAGGGGTTGTGTAGGAGCTGGAGGAGATATTTATAGCCCGTGCCCCGTTGAGAGGTATGTTCCTCCTTGTCTCACCGTTGCCAAAGTCCATGTCAATAGTAGCGTTTGTAGGCGGGTGAGTGCCCGATTTTACGGACAATGTAAACGTAACGTTACCTGGTGGAATTTCCTGTGGACTGTTAGACATGATTTCAATGTCTTTTACCACATACTGCACGTGTAAATATTTGGTGACTGTCAGTGTGCTGACGGCGTTTGAAGCTGTGACGATAAGTAAGTACATGCCATGGTCAGTGTATGTGTGGTTCAAATAGTCACCCTCGCGGACCAAGGAATCGCCAGAAAACAGGGACTTTGATCTATTTCCATCGTTGAAGTCCCAATGCACAGTTACATTAGTTCCGCTATCGATCGAGATCCAGCTTTCCGTGGTTTGGTTGACAGGGATGTAACTGTCGTTGTTGACCAGACGAAGGTTGGTGAGTACCTTATCGACCTTTATCTCACGGGTAAATATCTGAAGCGGTGTCACTAAATTTACAACTTTAATCGTCAAAAGGTAGACGCCAACATCTGAGAAATTCTGCCGACTTATGGGAAAAGTGTGATACTTAACATCCGTATCGATGGTTAGCTGGAGGGCGAAGGCATCAGCAAACACATTTTGTAGCGTGATCTCAATGTGCATACTTGTACCAGATGTGAAGGCAACAGTAACGTCAAAATCTTCATCGACCGATTGGCCATCTGGGCAGGACACAAGAAAACCTGTAATTTCTTCTTGTACAATAGCTTCTCCTATAGTACTTGTGTTGTACAAGCGATTGCTGCAATTAGCAAACACTGTGTAATTTCCAACTGCCGAATATGTGTTCTCCACTGGCACGGTTAAGTTCCAGTAATGGTTTTGGTTCTTTTGACCATCAGTGCCGAAGTCCCAATCGCACCAAAAATCGTTGCCCCCGGTTATGTTCATCATGCAGACCGTTGACGACATAAGGGTGGTTGGAGGACATGTTATGTGAAAACCAGTCAGTGGATAAACAGGCTTGTGGACTAATATGTGTGGCGTGCAGTTTCTCTTGCTGACAGCGTTAACGAATTTCATGTTTGCACGGTATAGACCGTGCGTGGAGTAACTGTGTGACACGAGAAACGAGAACATGAGACTGCAATTAGTGCAGAGTGCAGTTCGAATTGGTGAACCAATAAATGACGAATTGTCAGCGAATTCAACAAAGGCCTTCGCGTTACTTCCCTGTGGATAGGTTGCGTTCAGTTGAATGGTTTCGTTCACTTCGATATCTCGAGCAGCGTGGATGACTTTACAGGTGAGATTCACTATGGGCGCTACAACTTCTGCAACGCCAGTGACGGTCCTTATGGATAATGAGTTGTACGCTGTTAGGGTCACGTTATAGGTGCCTTCGTCAGCGTACCTGTGTAAGTAGGAACCGACAAAAATCGCCAGAGTTGAAAACGAGCCATCGGTGTACTTGCCATCCCCAAATGATATGTTGTAAGTGACATTTGTTCCTCTCTCGACAATCCAGCTAATCTCCGTGTCATTTCCCAGCGTTGTTGCAGTCACGTTAAAGAAGTAAAGATCTTTTATAGGATCCATAACGACCAGTTGACACTTGCGCATCGATGACGAAAGAAGATTGAAAGCTGTCAAAACTACGGTGAACTGACCTTTTCTATTAAGCAACATCGGTAGACTTTGATTAGAGATGTTGGTCCAGGTGTAAAAGAATTCCCACTCGCTCTGGTTGTATTTAGTGAAGGAGGTGTTCTCGTTTGCAATACGGATTCTATACGTGACATTATGCCCGGGATGCGGGAGTGTGGTGATGTTGAAAGACTCATTCGTAGGGACAAAGTGGGGTACTATCCAGGTAACATTTTTAAAACTAACAGAAGCTGTAATGATAAAATGAGTGACCTCTGTTTTAATAGTCCCTGTTTGATTCCAGTTCCCGACAGGAAAGTTCCCCAAAGAAACCGCCATTGTAGCTGGAGGAAGATAGATCACTACCAGATCGAACCGGTGCTGAATTTCCTGAAGGGCTGCATTTCCATCTCCCAGCAAAATGTCTCCAACATCAAGGTGTCCGCTGTTGAAAACAAAAGCATTTCCCTCTGAACTAGAGGAGATAATCTGGGCACCGATTTTCTCCACCGTGCCAATAGCTACGATATCCGCTGGCTGCACGTGAAACCCAGGCTGGCTAATGGCAGTGATGTGAAAACCCTCAGGCAAGTAGAACATGGAACTATGGACCACTTCATACTTCGTCCCCAATGTTGAATTAAAGACGCCTCCCGGGCATAGCAGCAGCCCTAATTGACAGTCGATGCTTCGACAGAAGACGTCTTTATTTGCCCCGCAACTGTAGCTAAGATCGGCAAGAGAGCATGTTGGGAGGTTGGTTGTACAGCTACCATTTCTGAAACAATAGGTCTTTATCCAGGGTAGAAGACAAACTTGACGAAGAATCTACAAGTCGAATCAGAGAACCACAGCATTTAACTTTGTACAAGGAAAGGCTTCCTCTTATACAGAGAACGTTCAAAGAAATTCACACCCACTGTAATCCCCTGCTTAAGATATTTGCAAAACCTACCTGGAATTTAATGTATCCAGCACGAGTGGTGTTGGACTTCAGTGCCCTCAGATATCCATACTTTCCAAAGTAATAACTTGGTAAGATAATGGTTGTGTTTGAGTCAGATAAATTTGTTTTAGCCTGACTTGAAGAAAGTGGTGTTCTGAAACCGACCATTAGCGGAGTCGTGTCTGCAAACACCAAAAACAAAGACATATCAATATAAAAGAGTTTTTAGGGACAGCAGTACTCCCCAACCAATATTTTGACGAGGATCTCCCTCCCTGCCCCCCTGGGCTCGGCTCCTCCATGGCCTTCTGAAAAAAACTAGATTCTGAAAGTTGCGCATGTCCATTGAATGCTCCCTAGTGAATATGTATCGCTAGGAAGACACCATGATAATCTTAGTTTGAATACGAAATTGTGGAGGCCATATTAAAGATACTGGTAGGGTTGGAAACAAGAACACTTTTCGGTCGAAATACGAATTTCAAATATGACTGACCAAGCAGTTTGTCAAGTAACATACAAAGATCGCAGAGGCAGCATGATGACACAAAGACTCAAGGAATACTTGTAGACAAAAATTAGAAAAACTGTTCAGGTGGTTCAACTTAAAGGAAAGAGCGAGGATGAAAGGCAAGGAGGCAAGGAAGCAAGGAAGCAAGCAAGGAAGCAAGCAAGGAAGAAAGCAAGCAAGGAAGGAAGGGAGGGAGGGAGGACGGAAGGAAGGAAGCAAGCAAGCAAGCAAGCAAGCAAGCAAGCAAGCAAGCAAGGAAGGTAGGGAAGAAGGGAGCAAGGCAGGTAGGAAGGAAGCAAGGAAGCAAGCAAGGAAGCAAGCAAGGAAGCAAGCAAGCAAGCAAGCAAGCAAGCAAGCAAGCAAGCAAGGAAGGAAGGAAGGAAGGAAGGAAGGGAGCAAGGTAGGTAAGAAGGAAGGAAGGGAGGGAGGGAGGGAGGAAGAGTGTAGGGGCACATTAACGGTTACACTTGTTACCTTCCATTGTTCCATTGATGATATCGCCGAGAGGTGTGATAAATCGTAAGTACATATTTGATCCAGTTGTAACTTGCAGAGTGCATTCAAAGTCCGAAAACGCCTCGACGACTCTTGGACAAATAAAGTGCATATCGCTAACTGGAATATACGCATCAATAGTTTTCATGTTGAAGACAGTTTGACATTGTCCGTAATGGCCAACGGTTATTTCTGCATAGACCTGTGATTGTTAGAAGGAAATGTGATCTCCGTAAGAAGTTTTTAAAAGTTTTCCAATGCCGGTTACTCGAATCAAAATAACAAATTAAATCGTTAAAGAATGCAATAAACCACTTGCAAAAAAATTCCGGTATCACGAAAAGAACTTACCCAGTGGTTTTTCCCATTCTTAACTTATTTTCATGTTAATCTTCGAGGACATTCGGCCCGTTCAGCTACACCGCGCTGATTCTAGTCATTTTTTTTAAGGTTAGTAAAACTCAATCCTAACCTTTTTCTAATGATACTGCATCCTGCATGGTACGAACCCTCCCTCCCTCCCTCCCTCCCTCTCTCCACCACCAACACCACGTCCTTTCACTCTAGAATTTTGTCTGATTGTCTCGAACGTTTGACCTCTGGGCCGCGGGTCTGGGTTGTTCAAAGTCGATTGAGCTAATGGATTAGCGAAAATTTTGACTTCAATTTTGTAACTTTCCAGTGAGGTTTTCTGTTTATATTGTTTGTCCTTCAGTAATGAGTTTGAATGATCTAGAACCCCATAAACCATAAGCAATGAAAACCATTTTTATACAAGAGAAATAAACACTTCGGTTAAAATTAAATCCTGGGTCAGCGCTAACCGGCTTTTGAAAAACCCAGCTCTGGGTGGAGAAAGACGCTGTGAGGGTAAAGCGTCTTGCACAAGAACACAACACAGATCCCGACCGGGTCTGGATCACAACAGTCCAATTTAACGTTCAGTGCACTAAACATTAAGTGACTGCGTCAAAAGCATCGAGATATAACACCCACTGTTAAGACGTTTAGTCTACTAACGCCATAAAGAAAAAGCTAGAGTGACTACCTCGTGTGTTCCTGGACTGGTAAACATGTAGTGATAAGTTGAATTCTTAGTCTTAATCACTGTTCCATCCCCAAAGTTAAAGATCACTTCAGCGCCGTCGTAAGTCGGCGCCGTAGCAATTTGGAGCGTCGTAAAAGCCTCGGAAGCATTGGCGACGGACACAGCGAAGGGAAAATTAAATTCTCCAACGGCTTGATAAACGCTGAAATATAAGTGGCTTCCGCACTTGAGCGCTTTGTGACCTTCACATGGATAGTAGCAGGCAGCATCGCTTGTCTTCTTACTGACCTCGGGTGTGGTGTTGGAGCAGTAGCAATGAGAGCCTAATGTGATACCAGCGTACGTCATATTGAGTTTGCCGCAAACTGTTACACAGCTCTCTGGAGTCTGTTCTGCTGCAGCGAAGTCGCTAGATAAGATCATGTCATTGGGAGAAGAGAAGCAACCCAAGTAGTTCACAGCTGCGTAGTAACAGAGAAAAGGGAAGATATTGTTAATTCTATAAAGCTATTCTTTTTGCATATTCTAAACATAAATAAACGCAATCTTAGTGATTTTCGTGCTCAATTTAGTACTTCGTTTCCGCGGAAATAAAGCATTGTCTTGCAAGATTGTGTTTCCGAACTGTCACGGAGAACGGATATTTTTATCCTTTTTTAAGTTTTCATACGGATTATAATCTAGAAATGATCCGCGTCTCTCTTCAAACGGGTGCGAGGTGTTTCAAGTGTTTCAAAGAGTATGGACCTCTAATGTATCGGTTGGTACTTCAAGTTTAGGCTTAATTTGCAAAAGAAATTTCTGTCAAATCTTTTCTGTTCCTCCACAGCTAAGTAAAGGCTTAAGTTAACGTGAAAACAGGACGCCATTCCATTTTCAATAACAGCATAAAGGCATTATCGATGAATACAAGTAAAGAAAACTTACCGTTTCTGCTTGCAATTACATCGATTCTCATAGCGATTGAAGTATTCCATTGGGTAGGATGAAACCGCAGCACTCGCGCCGTCAGGTCTGGACACACTGAGTTAGACACTATGTTTTCGCCATCGTGATTACCAGTGAAGTGCTAGTAAGTAGTATAGAGAGAAAAGAAGCGAATTAAATGAGTAACTTAGTGACTTTAACTCTGTTTGCTTACAACAACGCCCTGATATAGGTGATGTCAAGATAACGATTGCAATGATAATGATGATGATAGAAGCGGTGACGACAAGTACAAAGGTACTGGTGAATAGAGCCTACCTTGATGCTACCATTGGCTTTATAGTCGGACCAGAAGCTGCCACACAGACTATAAGAGAGTGTGTACTTTGTGACCCACTCAGAGCAGCCACATTCTTCATCTCTCCCTTGTGTCATGATTGCACTGATGTTTCTTACTTGAAGTAAATCGATTTGAAGATATTCGGACGTTGACTGTACACTAGGGATCCATGCTCCTGAAGACAGGCATACATGTATGGTAAATGATTGTCCAAACAGCTGAAGAGGATATTTATGCTGGTGGTCTTTTAAATTGCCCATAACCTTTTTTTACTTTTTCTCTCGAATCTAGACATCGCCAAAAGGACTTAGGCGAAGAAAGTTTTCGATTTGAACAGCGATTATAAAAATGATCATTTTTGAGAATTTTTAAATTTGCCGCCATTTCGGCTCACCATTCGCCCTAACCTCCTCTCAGTTCTTCTCCTTAACAAAGGAGCTCTGACAGATTAAGGAACACGTGACTTCAGACTGCAAGTCAGCAAGTTGAGTTCAAGAGAAATTCCTTCGAGTGAGAAACAAATCCGGAAAAAATGACACAAAGATGCGTTGCAAGGACGAGATAAGAGCGCTATTTATTTTCCTTTCCTTACGTTTCAAACTGCAGTTCAGATGATTGATGCTTCTAACGTAACTTAGCTTAACTAGCATTCATTGCTTCGTGCAGCACCAAACAAGACCCTACCTACAAACGAACCCACTTCTTTTACTAGAGCCCTTCCTCGTTCAGGGCCAGAGGAATCAGCGAGGCTGGACGAAGCAGTAAAGGCATCATCGGGGACAATTCCAGTGATAACACCAAACGATTCTGGAGCTGTTTCTGAAACAAATAAGAAACAAATTGATTGCACTGTGAGGGATATCTCTACAATGTATATATCTATTTTTGCGCCATGCAAACTATAGGGCCAAGCAAGACAAACATTTGAATCACTGCTGAACCAAACAGCAAATAGTCACTGACATACACATTCGATAAGCAAGATTTTCTAATTAAGTAACGGTCAATAAAAACAATTTCAATTATCTGGTGTTTAATACACCTCATATCATGAGGATCTACGTTTTACCAGAATTTAAACCAACGTAAACGACATAGCATAATGCCATATATGTTATTTGCCTGCTGGGAGGTCCATGTAGTGAAAACCTGTGACCTCGGTCTCGAAAATGCTGTCCGAGGCCGCAGGCCGAGGGCAGCATTTTCAAGCCCGAGGTCACAGTTTTTCACTATACGGACCGACTCTAAGCCGACAAATAACATGTTTATTTTTTTCCCTGCAGTAAACCGGTTTTACAGATTATAAATAGGTTTGTTTACGTAACTCTTGTCATTGCATCGGCTTGGGCGCCGTCTACTAACGATTTGTGAAAAATCTTGGCAACGAGCAAGTAACTCAGAGAGTAGACAAAGAAAGATGTACTGAAGAACAGATTTTTTTCGAACTACTTTATGTTAGTTGCATTTATTTCACCACTTAAGGTGTCTCCATAGGGTAATCATTTATGGCGTTGCGCGCGCAAGTGTTATGTTTTGAATGCTGTTTTTGCATTCGCTTTCATACCTAGTCCTCTAAAACTTATTACATACAATAAGCAATGATTAAATAGTATTTTGCTATCATCTCTGTTAAAATTTTGGGATTTAGTCTTGAATTATAAATGCCCAAACAAATGTGTTTTTTACTGT